GTGTAACTATCTATGAAAATTTGCTACCACACGTGGTTATCGTCTTAAATGATATGTACCCGCACTAACTGCTTTTAGCTATTCCAATCCGGTAAAACTACTGATCTGTGAAGTCTATATATGGTCCCTGTCCCCTTTTGTGCAATAAACTGGGTCAGTACAAAACAGATTATCATGGAAAGAGAAAATCATATGCGGCTGGAGTACTGGGAAAACTTACCAGGACTCAGATAGAGCAAAGCACTGATAACACCGTACTCCTACAAAGACATTCTCAAATTCTCAAAATATAATTCAAGGTTGATAACGGGTTTCATTACAGGTCATTATTGTCTGAAATATCATCTTCATAAACTACAATTATTTGCTAACTCGGAATGCAGATTATGCCTCGAAGATGAGGAAATGACCATGCACATTCTTTCTGACCAGCTTTAGTAACTCACAGAAGAAACTTGTTTCATGTGGAATTTCTGTCAACAGAACAGATTAAGAACTCTTATCTAGATTCAGTTCTAGATTTTGTTCACAAAGGTTTAAAGAGCTTTGTGTAATCAATAGTGAAATTGGTACAATAGACTATTCTGGCCTCAGTACCGGCAATTTCAGTATAGTCAATTTTCACGTCTACACTTTTAATAATAATAAATATGTTCCCTGTCAACCAGTCTTATCTGCTATCCATTTAACAACCGAAATGAGCATTAAATTCAAAATAAACGGGTCCGTACTAGTATTAGTACATTTTTGTGTAAAATATGTTTACTGGGCATCATATCAGTTGGATCAGTAGATCCAAAAAAAGGTCACAACTGACTTTTTTTTGCCAGAGTAACTAAAATCCACAATATATTGTTTGATAATTCAAAAATTAAGTTACTTGAGATATAGCAAAGATGACAAACATATCACATAAACGTGTGTCGAATATTTTACATGAATATTTGGCTATGAAAAAGCTTTTTGCAAAATGGATATGGATGTCGCATTTGTTCACAATTGACCAAAAACGACGACCATGAACTCAATAATCGGCTGAAAAAGTTTTGGCTTCTGTATTTTGAGATTCAAGTGAAATAATTTTTATAGAGTATTTGGAAAAAGAAAAAAAAATAACATTAGATTATTATTGCATATTATTAGATCGACTGAATTGGGAAACCAAGAAAAAACGACTACATATGTCGACGAAAAAAATTTTGCTTTTGCAGGATAACACACCCGCTCACATGTCAATGAAAACTAAGTCAAAATGAAATAAATTACAGTAAAAATTACTTCCTCATCCACCGTATTCTTCAGATTTGGCTACCAGTGGATATTACCTGTTTCCAAATTTGAAAAGATGTCTTCAGGAAAAGAGTTGCATCAAATGATAAAGTGGAATGGGATCTGAGGTATAATTTAGACGACTTGATAAATCGTATTATTTAAAAGGTATTCAATTGTTGAAAGATCCTAGGACTCGGTGTGTCGAGTTTAAAGAGGGACTACATTGAAGCATATTTATATTACTTAGGCTGAGTATTTATCAATCTACCTAGTATAAAATATAGTATGTAAAAAGTTTGCTTATTTGGTCATTTAGACAGAAGTAAGCCACATCGCTGTGTAAATTTCTTATTGAGTACTGCTTTTATGTATTAATGTTGAAATGATAATCGTTAACAATTTAAACTGAAAGTCCCAAAAATACACCTTATAGTGTTTGAATCTAATGTTACACAAGCCAATGGGATGGTTTTAGTTGGCTGTTATTAAAATACATAAAATCAGCTTTAAAATCAAATATAATTTTGTATTTAATGCAAATCTTACGCTATGTTTTAATTTAAAAATTATTATAATCCAGTGACAAAAAATCTATATCAAACAAAATAAAAAAATTTTTTTTTATTTAAATCAAGTAATATATGCCTATACATCTATATAAATTTAATCACAAATAGTTTTTTTATCTATGGATCTTTATAAGATTTGTATAATATAGAAAGATACACCACATATGGAAACCAATCACCTACTGTGATATTTTGGCACTCGTATCTTACCTATGTACAATAATTCAAAATATTTAATTAATTACTGAAACATATTTCTTTACTTAAAATTTTAGAAAGGTTAAATGAATTAATTTCAACCAAAAAAAAAATTCAAGGAAAATTATTTCAGAGCAAATTCATTAAAGTACATTATATTTAATTTTAAAAAGTAAAATTATCTGCAAAATGAATCTTAACTAAATATCAAATCGCACTTATTTTACAATCTCTGCTGAACTAAATTTACAGACAAATGTGAAGTTTATATATCGGGTATTAACTATTTCTTTCCATTAAGTGCATTTTGCAAAAGTACTGTACAACCCTGACCGTGTTTTATGCCTATAAATTTCAAAAAAAAATTTATTAAAATTCAATATATTTTAATTAAAAAATTTTGACATTTATGTCCAACTACTCACATGTGTGTGAATAAGCCTCGATAATTACTTGGGTTAAGATTTTTAAAGAATTATTTATTTTACTAATGTGGGTTCGGCCGAAAAAGTATTAAAAAAATATTAATAAAAAAAAACTTTAATATTATTTAATATTACTCATGAAGTTTAAAGGTGGTTTATGGTTAAAGTATAAAATTAATCAGTTAAATAGTTAATAAATCGAAATTACTCGACGTGATTAAAATATCTTAACAAGTTTGTTTTATTGTACCAATCCTATATACTAACGTAAGCTTATTATTATTTATTTATTAATGCGAAGAATATGGAATTAAATTTTACAATTTTTGAGATGTATATTTGAATTAGTAATGTATACTATTATAAATGATTAAATTTATTTAAATTAAAATATTAAACAAACTTTAAATTTTTTAAATTGAATTAAATTTTAAGAAAAAAGAAATGCCAGCTCCCGATATATTTCAAAGCAAATTTACTACCTATCAAGATATTTAGTTTATATTATGAATTTTACAGATGACAAAATGGAATAAAAGAAATTAATATAACATTTAATTGATGTTCAGACTCTAAAAAAATAAAAATTATTAATACAGTAGATGATCATAAATTAGAACCACTTGGTTTTTCGGTTAGTTCGAGAATTAGCAGGAAGTTCTAATTTCTGGACCTTTTTTATTCCTAAAAAATTTTTTAAAAAATTAAAACTAAGCAAAACAACTTTGTTTTGCAGTTAAAATCAATTTTTTTGAAGCATAATGGTTTTATATATTCAGTAATGTTTGTTTGTTTTTAAGAACATCAGTTTTATTTTATTTTTTTATTCAGAAATAACATAGCATATTAAGATACAATTAACTTATATTAATTAATTAAAACTATAGCGGCACAGGCCTTAAGCTTAATCTTCATTGTTATTTGAAGTATCATTATCGGCAAAAACAGAATCATGGAGAAGCTTCTGCTCAGAGATTCACAACTTAAGCAGTAGCGCTAAAATCCACAGGCTATCACACTAACCCCATTGGGGTTCTGAAACGACCAGATGGTCTTTATACCAATGACTGCAAAAAGTCACTTATACTTCTAACAGAAGTACACTTCCCGGGATCCACAATTAACGACCAATCAAACTCTCAGCTCAGTTTCCTGGAGGCTAAAAGACCCAGGACCAATGACTGAAAGACTGTTCGTAAAATCTTCACAGAGGGTAAAATTGAAAGAACGTATAACTCATTCTCTCCTTTCAAGGCCGCTGATGCAAACGGGGTATTTCCAACACTCTAACGCACCTTATACCCTACCTAATCAATATCTTTAGAGCAGGGTTCTGTTATAAGTGGATAAGCAGTTAATAAGTGCCGAAGTCTGAGTATAGCGAGACTATCACAGTGACCCAAAATGTGTTATTCCGTTTTCTCTTCTTCGTCACAAAGCCTGTAGCTATCGTCCCCTATGATCTCTAAATTCGATAAATACTTCTTAACTTCATAATGTTCAGTGAGAACCTTGTAACAAGCCCAATGCGTTTCCTATTCAGCATTAGCAGTTCTTTGGTTTTGGCGTTTGAGCTCAAAATACCTTGCTTCTCAAAATATCGAAGATTGAAGTTGTAAATTTTTTACATTAATAATTTATATCTAGTGCAAATCAATTGATGTCATTTCGAGAATAATTTTCTGCTTACAATTCTTCAGACGCCTGCTAGACAGCCATGTTCTAGCAGGCGTCTACTTCCCAACGGACTTACTCTTTCAAAGGTTGGCAGTTGGTTGGTGACACCCCAAAGATCAGCATTGCTGATACGATTAGACCACCAGTTGTTAAGAATTTGACGCAAGCATTTGTTTGAAAAAGTTTATAGGCATGTGTCGATGACGGTAGTGCGTATCTCACATCCATGAAAGAACACTGGTTTGTTGTTAGAATTGTAATCTATATCTATATCAGCATATAATCCAGAGAAAAAGTTTTTGGAATATCATCAAATTCAAAAGTTAAAGCGCCTAGGAATCTGTAATCGTCTTTAATTTAAAACTTGTTTTCTGAATCTCTTCTAAATGGCTGTGTATTGAAAATTGTATACTAACGATTTATCACTTAATTGTGATAATAATTTCAATTATATTTTTTTTTGATTTAATTTATTACTTTTAGTTCGAATCACTTATACCATTTGGTCTCAAAATTTATGAGTATTAATTACAATAAAGTATTCCATTCTAAGTATGAAGTAGTTTCATAATATGGTTTATTTTTATTTTGTCCGTGATATATTGATTCATAGAATATGAAGATGCCACAATTAACGCAATTAAATTAAGTTTAATGAAATAATTATTAATACTAATATTAATTATATTAATTATATATATATTATATTATTAAATATATTATATTAAGCTGGGTCATTCATTTGATTCATAGCAGTCCGAACTACATGAACAACTTATTATTTAATAATATTAAGTAATTTGTATAAAAAATTGCAAATAAAATAAATTAATATTTTTACATATTTTTTATTTTTAAGGTGACTTCATGGATCACCAGCGACGGGAATGAAACATTACAGAGGTTTGCAAATTTCCAGCTAGACTGCGAGACTCCAGTGAAAGATAGCGAACAGGAATTCGAAAAATTCTACTTTATCTCAATGGTAAGTATACAAATAATAATATTAAATATTATTTAACAGCTTAACACTTTTTCACTGATAATGCGAAATCATAAAATAAATTTCAATAAACAGAAACACTTGGCAAAAGGTCGTGACTTACATGAGGCAGCTGAAACAATGGAAGCCTTGCATGATAGTGCAATGAACCTTAAAGTGGCGTTAGACTGTTTTGCTGACAAACTGGAGCAGGCACGGGAACGTATTGAAGGTGCAACACGTCTTCATCAACTATTAAACCAAAATTTACGTGACGAAAATGTTGAGCAAGAATTACAACGCTTGATGGAGCATATAGGAGTACCTGGCTTACTAGAAAAATATCATATATACAAACAACAACAAGAACACCAGCAACAACAAAACACAGCAACAATATCAGAAAATATAAGCAGAGTTAAACCAAATAGTCTCAACTTAAACTGTAGTCGTCGAAGAACTAAAACCTACAGTCTTTTCCTCACCAGTACACCCGCAGCACAAAAGCAAGCAAACTTCGCCAATCACAGAATTAGCTCTGGCATTGGTTCGTTTGAGGGTACGCCATGTGAATGTTGGCGTGAAAGTCGTAATTTGGGTGATATGGATGAGCTATTGGATGGTGACGATGACTGTGAAGATGGTGAGGAAGAGCAATCAAAAATTGCCGATTCAGGTTTGGGCGGTTGTGAACGTTGCGAGGGAAATACAAAGTTAGCGCGTATTTGTTCTTGTCAAAGCTTACATGAAGTAAGCAATTTCTGCGATAAGAGGTGAATTATAATGTATTTATGTGATAAAATCAAATTTATATAATTCTTATTTACTCTATTAGTCATAATGATGATTTGGATGATGATTGCTACGAACGTCCACCGAAACCATACTTCGACATACATTCGCCGGTTGAGGCGAATGCTCATTTACAATGTTTCGCTTCAAATTTGGAATTACCTAAAATGGAAGAACACAGCTGCTTAGATCAAAAAATACAAAAGTAATAATGTTTATACTAGTCGCTTATACTAGTCAGACTATATTCTCTCAATTATTTTTATCGTTATCAATTTACAGAACGCTTCTATTAATCATACGTGAAATGATTGGTACGGAACGCGATTACGTACGTTCTCTGTACTATGTCATTGAGAATTATGTGGACGAACTGTTACGCGATGATATACCACAGCCGTTACGTGGTCAACGTAACGTTATTTTTGGTAATATTGAAAAAATATTCGAATTTCATAACTCACACTTCCTCAGCGAATTAGAGCGCTACGAACGTAATCCTCTGAAGGTGGGCGCAGCATTTCTTGAAATGGAATCGAAATTTTACTTATATGCTTTGTACAACAAAAATAAACCAAAAAGTGATACTCTAATGAGTGAATATGGTACAACATTCTTTAAGGTAACTATAAATATAATTGTTGCTATATAAATAAATACATATATATATATATATATATATATATATATATATATATACTTGTTTTCTAAGAGCGTCCTATGAACAAAAGAAAGAAATCCTTGGGTGTCCATCTAAAATTAGATAAAATAATAAGACTCGACAATATAGGCTCGATACTGATATTTATTGAGTAAATGAATACTCTGAACCCGTTAAGGGAGTAGAAAAATTTTTCAAGATCACAGTGCATAATCCCCATTATTAACAATTTTGTTTATCTTCAAAATATAGGTATAATATCAAAATTATTCCATTTTTTTAGTTTAAATTTCCTTTTTTGAAATCGTTAAAAATGTTGTGATTGACGGCTTCCAAAGACACTCTTTTATTCTTGGATATACTGGAGCAGCTGGGTTTAGGTACCAAAGCTTCTCGACTTTTTAAATATACAAATGCCTCTTAACAGGGTCAGAGAAATCAGGTCTGGAAATGTTATACAACAAGAACATCTATTCATTTAAAATTTTATTGAAAGCATAGATATTAGATGATGTACCGAAAATCGATGATTTTTTTTCCTAAAAACAATAAGGGCCAGTTTAATATATTCAAAATATCTGTGAGTCGTGGCTACTATTTTAAGTTTTTTTTATTAATATAACGTTCTTAAAGGATTTAATTAAAAATAGTCTCATTCCCCTTTATATAATACATACCATAAATAAATATATCCATACATATTTCTAAGTTCATACACAATATATCTTATATTTTATAGACAAAACAATTTGAACTAACCGATAAAATGGATTTGGCTTCATACTTACTGAAACCGGTACAACGGATGGGCAAATACGCATTACTACTTCAACAACTGGTTAAAGCTTGCAGTGCTGTAGAGGTAAGATCTAGGTTCCATAACTTATATATCACAGTCTAAAATAACAAAAACTACTGATATGTCTCTTCTAGGGTACCGCATTGCAAGATATCGCTGCTGATGTTGAAGAACTGCAACGAGCTGAAGAGATGGTAAAATTTCAGTTGCGGCATGGCAATGATTTATTGGCTATGGATTCATTGCGTGACTGTGATGTTAATGTCAAAGAACAAGGACGTTTGCTAAGGCAAAATGAATTTTTAGTTTGGCAGGGTCGTGGTGGTAAAAAGACTTTGAGGCAAATATTTTTATTTGAAGACTTGGTGCTGTTTAGTAAAGCAAGACGGTTTCCAGATCATAAGGTGGATATAACATTATATATTATTTTATTTCAGTTGAACCTAATATATAAAACCTGTTTGAATGTAAAAGAGTCAAAATGAAAGGTTTCATATATTTCCGACCTAATTTTTTTTAATGGAATAAATATATCTTGAGAACATAATATATTTCTTTTACTTTTACAGAACCTTGATATTTACTTATATAAAAACAGCATAAAAACTTCAGATATTGGATTAACTGCGCATGTCGGAGATTCCCCAACGAAATTTGAAATTTGGTTCAGAAAACGTAAACCTGAAGATACTTGGACATTACAATGTATGTCAGAGGATATCAAAAATGCTTGGACTGAAGAGATTTCAAAATTACTTTGGAAACAGGCGAAAAGAAATCGAGGTAAAATTAATCTCAGAGTTATTATTTTTTTTTTTTTGTTTATCTTTGACACTCTCGAAAACTGGTATAAAAGTTTTAAGAGAATCTAAATCGTCTTATTTTATATTTCTTAAATTGACAGTAGAACTAAAATTTTTAGTTAATCAGTCAGAGATTTAGGATGAAACGAATAGTTAAGGGAATTAGATTTTCTCTTTGAGAACTTGTAGCAATCAATAAGACTACGACCATAACAACTATATCTCTAATTGACAGAGCTAAGGACCTAAGACCGGCATTTTTAACTCGTGTTAGCCTATCATAAAACCCAGTTAGTTCAATGAATAAATATCGAAAACCAAGTCAAGTAAATTTAAGGCATTGCACAATGGAACTTCATAAACTAATAAGCTTGGTGGATCCCAAACATAGATCTTTAAAAAATATTTACTTTATCAACCACCCAAATTGATTTTAATGCTGAGATTTTCAAGTCCAAATTTGTGGTAATAAAACCGCTCCTATGCGCTACTTGCACATAGTTTAAAATTTTGTCGCTATTAAAACCAACCAACCATTCAAAAACTATTCCACCGTAATCCGATCTTAGGCTGTGGTATATAATCACTTCTAATATACAAAAACAGATATGATCCTATGTAGTCACCTGCAGTACAACCCAAGACATTATTTTGCGGCAGATAAAAAATACCTACAAAAGATTTTAGGGTCTAGAGTAAAAATAAAAAAATTTTTGAAGGGTTAATTATAATATAATTATAGAATTAATATAGTATGATATATGATAGAATATTATTGTATCGTACAACCATAAACTTGATATTTTACTTTATTTTTTTTTTTTTAAATGTGTATAATTTTTTTTTTTTAGAAATTCGCCTTGCTGAAATGTCTTCAATGGGCATCGGTAGTAAACCTTGCTTAGACATACGCCCCAGTAATAACCAAATAAGTGATCGTTCGATTACTTTAACACAATTAGGAAAAGGTAATATATATTATTAACACTAAACATATATGTAGATATAATTTCTATATATCCAGAATGAGATTAAGTATTTCTATAGATAATAATGAATTGTTTTGAACTTTTTTAATTAGCACCAAAACTGCGTCATTCTTTCGCAAGCAGTACTGGTTCAGACCACAATAAAGCCCGACGTCCGAATTCGCTAATATCCGATTGCTCTATGTCAAGTGGTACTAGCAGTTCTTCAATTAGCACAGGTAGTTCATCGGGGCATGAACGATTTGGTAGCTTAAGTAAGGGAAGTGTAGGGCAACACCAACATGCATTGGAGTTGATTAATGAAACGCAAACGTTGAAACTAACCAATGATGCAGTTGCTATGCATAACAGTAATAATAATTCCAACAATAAGAGCAACACCAATACGATGAGCAGCAGTGGCACTGCATCTTCAAGTGGTTTAAGTGGCAATCTACGCAATTGCAAACGTTCCACGACACTCGTCAGCCAACTTTCAATGGGTATTGAACTTGAATTGAGTTACTTTTTTTAAATATTATTTTTTTTTTAATATTTTTAAACAATTTTTTTTGTTGTGCTTAATTTTATTTAAATTGTTTTTGTTTTTTACAATTGTTTTTTATTTCTTGTTGTACATAGTATGTAATTATTGTTGTTAATTTGTAAATAATTAAGGAGTTGTTATAGTTTTTTTATTGTCTTGCATTTACTAATCGTTATAATGTTAAAAAATATATTTTATATTGGTTTGTTTTTATTTTTAATTATTTTCATTTTTTTTTAAATTATGTATATAAGTTTAAACACATACTTTATATAGTTGTAATTTTTTTAAATATGAAAATGCACATTTACAAAATTTATGGAAAAATGTTATTCCTTTTATTTAATTTTATAATTTTAAATTTATTATTTTTATAAAAGTTGAATTATTTTTTATTAAATTTAAAGAAACAATAAATAAATTAAATTGTTAATGGTGTAAAAAAAAGATTGTGTAGTATAATAAATTCATTTAATTTTTTGATGCAATAATATGATATATATTAAATAAATATTTCTTATTGAGTATAATACTAACATTAATTAATTTATATATATATATATATATATAATAAAATTTTATATATATCATTTTTTTGATAAATATAAATTCAATAATTTATATAAATACAAATGATTTTATATATATATTTTTATATATAAAAAAAATTTCTATAAATGTAAATTATAATTTATATTTAAATACACATTTAATAATTTATATAAATACAAATGATTTTATATATATATTTTTATATAAAAAAAAAATTCTATAATATCGAAATTTAATTTTTTTAATTTTTATGTATAAAAAATCTTTCTATAATGTCGAAATTTAATTTTTAAATTTTTTAATTAATTCAAATTTTTATGTCGTTTTTGTGTGGTTAATGGATGTGGGTACTAAACGTTAGAGTGAAAATAAAATTTTTCCGGAAAATAATTAAAATAGAAAAACAAAGTTTTCTTCTGACTTCATAGTTTTTTCCATAAAACTATAAATACATAACATATATAAATGTTGAATTTAATTATATAAAATTATTTCGAACTAATATTTTTGATATTTAAATATTTATTTAAAATATTTTTTTGCAAATAATTAATTTAAAAATATAATTTTATATCATAAAATATTAAAACTATATATAAATATAGTAATATAATTAATTTATATTGCTTAAAAACTGTTTTGAAAATTTTTATTGCACCAAAAAATATATTTCAAATAGCTAAAATATACGTTGTATAAACTACATATATTAAATATTTATAAAATATATATACAATATTATTGTACTATTTTTGCTTATATAAATTATATATTTTCCACTATTTAAGTTATTAGTTGTCTATTTTTTTTTATTTTTTATAGTCACATATATATTTACATATATTTACTTCCGTTGTATATAAAATTTATATTTTGCATGTAAATTGCATGACTATTGCACATGCATTAAATATTTAGTTTTATTTTTTATTTTTGAATTACTTACTCTTTCGGCAAGTATTTTTACTATATACTCGATATGATTTTTTATATATAATTATATTATATATATATAATATAGTTAATATGCTTGAAAACTGAAGTAACATAAAATCAAAACTATTAAAATGTATTTATGTAGAAAGTGGCATTCTTTCCGATATATCGATGACACCAGATCAAGAACATGCAAGCGCTCCCGCTTGGTCACCCACAGCAACAACGCCTACAACAACGGAACAATTTGGTCCTGTAACTGTTGTAATGCGACGTCAGATAATGCAAAACAAGGAGAAGCAAAAGGAATTCAAAACAGAAAGTATAAATCCCAGCGTACCCATAACCATTAATGAAAAGATAGAAGAGAACACTGTACATTGTAAAATTTAATTTATTTTATCCATTATTCCTCCCTCACCTCAACAGATCAACCGGAACCGCATTTAGTCGAAATTCGTACTATAACGAAACCAAGTGTTCTTAAGCTAGCAAAAACCAATCAGAAAAATAAAATATTTTATATTTAAATATACAAACGAACAGATAATTATTAATATATATTTTACTCAGCGAATTCTATAACTTAAAATAATTTCTTGTTAATTCATTAATTTTATTTTTTAAAATGCAAAAATGCTTTAAAATGTTTTAGACCAGAAATAAACTTACAGCCCTTATAACGCCTTCTCTACATATTAATGTTTATATATATTTATAGTTAAATTTTTTTTATTATAAACAACACATTTTATAATAATTCTAATTAATATTCGCAAATTTATATTATTAATATTATTATTATTATATACAAAAATTTTATTATTTAAGCATATATGTTTTTGTTTTTTGTTTTCAATTTAGGATTAATTTTTTTTTACGCCCAATGATCCAAAAATGCAGAGCGATTTAATTTAATTTAATTAAGCATGTTATAATTATCAATTAGTTAAACTTAAAAAATAATTATTAATTAAAATGGTTCAATAATGATTAATTAAAAATTTTTGCTTGAAGAAATTTAAATTGAATTCTCTTATAAAGTGTCAACAAAAGAATAATTATTTTTATTTAATTAATTATTTGCATTATTAGCTTTAAAGACAACAAAAACAAATATAAAACCACATTTCTTTCAAAGGAATCAATTAATTATTTAAAATGTTGTTATATTTTTAATATTTAAATTATTTATAGTTTTTAGTTTTTGTTTCATATCATTTTATATTATTGCCAAGCATATATTAAATTCATTTATACACAATTAATTCAAAGGAAATTTAATTTAACTGATACGAAAATGTAATTAAGTTTTACTAATTTTGTAAATATAAAAGTGTTTCACAATTAAACTTGTTTGTTTCTTTGTTTTTCTAATGAATAAAATAATTTGAGGTAGTTATTGAAATTAATTATAATGATGTTGTTGTTATTGTACTCCCCTTAGGATCTGCTTGTAAAATCTCTTTAGAGAGTGTGGCTGCGGGACGTAGATCCATCCATTCTTGGAACCATTTAATTATATTCATATTGAGTGTTATTAGCTATAAAAAGTCATGTACATAAGAATGAGAGAGAAATTTTCTCCAGTCCATAACGAAAGATTTCTAGTAATTAACTTATAACACGACGAAAAGATATACATAATAAGATGACCCAAAAATTTATGAAAAAGCATCAAACTAACATTCCACATTGCAGTAGTCAGTACTTTTCTGCGTATGACGATTACTTCGACGATTACATCTACCGCAACAAGGCAATATAAATAATACAAAAATTTAGGCACAAACTCTCTGCATCCATACCAATGCAGTATCTCTCTCAAGACTACTGTTGTATTATAATAACGTTTTCGATAGACCTCTACCTACAGAAAGTCTATAGGAATGTAAGACGTCTACTTCGTGCAATGAAACAGTGCCGATCCAATTGAGGTTAGGATATGTATGTATACGATTAATATGAAAATATGTAAAGATGCTGTGTCGTGATTAATTTGCATCTGACTTGGGTTCTACTGTTCTCTCTCAAATCATAGTCAGTGCTCCCAATCGGCTGGAACCTTGCAAATTCCACCTCAGTACCTGATATTCCACCTCAGCGATATTGTTACTTCAATAGTTTCAGTTCCTTTCATCAAGTTATCACATCAATGTGAAATAAACGTACTGAAATCTGATACACTAGCTACCGTAGCAGAAGAATTCGTCATGAATAGTGTTTGTACCATATAGAATGAATTCTGTAGCAGTTTGATAAAATGTTTTATGTGGCAACGGAAAATTAATTCGATAAGTGATAAGCACTAAAAAGTAAGACAAAGCTTAGGCCGACATATACATATGTGAAATAAATTCACTTAACAAAAGACTACCCTTGATGAGATAAGGATATAGTCACCGATCTGCTAAATATTTGCTTGTCACGCATGAATATGTGCCCCAACTGCACCTCTACTCCTAATAAGCTCGCCTATCATACTTAAATTCCAATATAAATTCGAGACCTCTTCGTTTATGGGTTCTTCTCATGAAAAGAACGGGATTCCTTTATCATTAACTTAGTCTTGGCTAAAGATTCTCCATTCTTTTCTTTTACTCACACCTACATTAAACTGGTTCACTTTCATCATTTCTATTCCATTGTGCAAGCTTTTTCATCTTCAAATTTGTAAGCATTTGAACAAAAAAATAATAAAGTATACAGGACTCGATAATTGTGTTAGTAAACACGGTTTATTATCATTACTATTATAATTGTCAACAAATTGCGTTACATATAATGTTTCAAAATTACGAAACTAAGTGGCATAAATAATATATTCCATTTAACCATTTAACCTAATTATTAGAAAAGCTTATATTTAATATTTCACTTAAACAGAATCGCTTATTCACTTATTTCAAATCTAGAGCTTAGTTCTACATCCAACTGGGATAATATGTACTATATTCTATCTGGTTTAGCGAATTGTTTCATGACAGATGAAACCCCATCCGTAAAAATATAAAAAACAACAAATAATAAAATTAAAAATAATTGCATTTTGCTCAGTACTACGTCCCTTCGCTTTAAAAGCAAAGGCCCACATGAATTTTCAGGAAGAAATTTGTCATCATATAATGCTTAATAAAAATTTTGTTTCTCAAAGTATTTAAAAAAAATACTTTAAGAAATTACATATGAGAATTATAAATATATATTACCATGTACTACAATAACTAAAAAACTGTATTCGAAAACTATTTAATTTGATCAAAAATGATTTTGGTTGATGTCTTTACTAAATACAATTTATAAAATACAGTACATTCTCGATATATCGAATTATTTATTATTGTGTTTTTTTTTGTTTGGAGCTCTTATTTTCTTTTAAAACTTATATTTTCATTTCCGAATTATTGAATATAAGCCAGAGATTAAAATTTTATGTTTATACTACTCTTACATTGTGAGATTAAGAGAACGAGATTAGTTAATCTGCATTTTTAATCTCCGCCGTTTACATTATACATTAGAGATTTATTTTGATGTTTCTCTTGTGTTTTGTTTCGTGTGTTTGATAAATTTCTGTAAATAGAGCATTTAATCACAATTTTGTGCAAAAAAGTTGATACAAAAATTTTATAAATAGTTTTATAACAATAATTTAACAAATTTTAGTTTTTATTATGTACAAAACTATTATTAAACAAATGTATTAAAATTTAACTCACTTCAGCATTTTTAATATTTGTTAAATATAAAATTAATCTTGAACAAAAGGAGATTAACTTTTGTGTGGGAAATTTGAGATTAAACGACGAGATTAGTACTTTAATCTCGATCATTGGTTTAAACTACTTTTAATCTCACAATGTAAATGCCGTATTATACTATCAATTGTAATTTTATTGACATGAATTGGAGCTATTGAATTGGAAGTTAACAATTGGACAAATTATGTTATAATGTTATACTAATATATAACAATTAATTTAACTTAAAAAATTCATTATTTTCATACCAAATATCTAGAAAAATGCTATAAATTTTTGATAAAAAGCTTTTGGATGAATGCATTCATGAAGATTTTTCAATGTCTCTTATAGTACATTCACACTGTCTCATTTAGGCACTTGCTCATTTATATTAATGAGTGAACATTAAAATTATAATGAGCTCATTTATACAGCAATAAAATTAAATATATAATTAATATATTTAATCATTTATATATATTTTATATATCAATTACATATAAGCTTACATAATGAGCTCATTTAAATGCGAACAATTTGTATGGTAAATCATCTTCATTAGTGGTTATAATGAGCGAAACCGACTAAATGATTGTTATGTTTTTTTAATTGTTATTAATTCTTTTAATTAAAGGGTATTTTCTTCGTTGTTTATTACATTATCACAATTGAATACAATGATTGCACATTAAAAGTAAATACATTTAGATCTTGATGTTCGTGAAAAATTAAACATTTGATAACCTTAAAATAAACAAGAATTATTGTTGAAAGTGTGTTTAGTAGGTTTTTCTGTCCCAGATTTTTTATTAACAGGTTGTAAGTACAACTCATTGACCAACCTTCACCACGACTCAGGCTAAATTCATTTAAAATTGACCCATCCATAAAACGCTCTTGGATCCAAATTTCATTCACATAACCATATCCTAACCGAGATATACTTATTTTTAATTCCTTACAGAATTTTCACTATATAGATCTCCCGGGTTATAACAACAACAAAGTCATTTTCGCTTAAGACACTATATAGACACCAAAGATTACGGGTTACAACAAAAACAACATACAAAAGATTCCGAAACCATCCAATAGAAATAAATGTATTTATTGGTGTCAGGTTAACTTATTGTTAATTCGAAAACGTTTTATTCTCAATTCTATTTATAAATATCTTAATATGTGTAATAATTATTATTTGAAAAATTATTAAAATTATATTTATTTATTAATATTTATTATTTAGATTTAATTATTAAATAATAATTTATACAAAATACTTATTTGAATAAATAATTACACATTGATCATGTTAGGTTCTCATATATAATAAAAAAGTATTTTGATTAAAATAATTGATATAATAAATTTCTTACAAAATTTTAAGTTCTTCAAGATCTAATAAAATATTTTTTTTAGCCATAAAACCTATCATATTTATATTTAATCCAAAAATATTAATTTTTAAACATACAAATTCTCTTTTATATTGTCTTAACTCAAATTTAAAACTAATTTAATCTAAATAATTTAATTGAATAAAACAAATTGTTCATAAAAAAAGGATTGTGTAAATAATATTTGAAAAAAGAATATTTATCCACCATGCAGTGTAGAAATGAATAAAACATTATCATTCGGTTGTAATTCATAATCGAGCTCACCCTAAAAAAACATAAAACAAAAAACAAAGCTTTAAATGATTTATAAATATAAATAAATTTAAATGTTTTACCAAGAGCTCCCAATCTGTATCATTAACAAGCACTAATATTCCTGGACGTCTAAAAAATTGATAATTGATGATTATTAATAATTGATAATTATTTTACAGTTCATAACATGATTTAATGAAGGCATTTTGGAGTACATTAATAATAAAGTGTTTTTTAAAATAAAGCCATTTTCAAGACTATTTATTATATGATCTATCAAATTAAAGGAACTTTTCCATTCAATTAACTAGAATATTTTCCACTCCAATATTTAAATTGGTTTAAAATTGCATTATTCAAGGCATAATAATATAGTAATGCATAACATAAAGCGCTACTTTCATATCGTCCCTCTATCAACTTCTAGCTAAATCTGTCTTCCCAAAATTTCTGATCTGTCCATCTCTTACAATCAGATATTATATAGAATATTATCTTACTTAAGGAATATTGATATTTGGTTACCTTATGTATAACTAATCAGGTCTGACAAAACGTTTTATACATAAATTTATTAAAATTTGGATGCACAAAGCGGTTTGATTAGATCACGTTCCAGAAGGGACTGAAGCCACTCGACAATCTAACGACTAAGTGTCACATATCCTTCCCACGACCAAGAAAGAATATTGATTAAAAGGTGCTACATGTTTATTTATTATGTTGTGGCTAGTTGAGTCAGTGCACTTGAGCACTTACACTCTCTATTAACTGCGAGGTTTGTTTATAACCCCTCTTTTCGCCTTGACTGGATTGTTTTTCACTTTATCAGACTAAAAAATAATTGACCTCAGATTTGCATACATCCCCGAAGAGCCTGTAACCATTCTGTGATTCGATAACGCGATGTTGGTAAGCCTGTCAGTTTTCGTAAATAATTTCAGGGCTCTATCCTTTATGTATTTAATTTAACAAGAAATTTTTAGTAACGAACGGGCGGACCCACAAATTCCAATAAATAAACTTACACTGTGTCGCCTTTAATAAACAGATCTGGAGATTCAGTTAGTATGTTATCCACCATCCACACCAATAAATCATTTATAGTCCCTGTAAAATGCATTATTAATGTTTCACTTATTATAGTAAATAATTTACTCACATTTGTCTTTTCCTTCCAAAACAACTTTATGACGTTTTTTATTATCGAAAAGTAATTCAGCACCAGCACTTAAAAATATAATTTATAATTTTACATAGCAAAACAAAAGAACAAATTACCTAAATTCAATCACAAGTGGTAATTTTGTGGTCATATTTAATTATATTAAAATTCCAATTGAATAAACAAACAAGACAAGCACGTTGTATATAAATAAATTCTCATATTGAGATAAAAAACATATGATTTTGACATTTGAGTAAAAACATAGCACAGTTTGAGAAACACCGGCAGCTTCTGTCAGTTTTTTTTACTAGCCATTAAAAAAAAAGACTGAAAATAAGTTAAAATAATTTTATTTAATATTTTCAAATAAATATTTACAATATTAACACTAACTACATAATCAATATTACTGTTTTTCTTTTTTCGCTTTTTGTGATTTTAAATCAAGGTCGTTAATTTCTAATTTAAAGTCAATTGGTTTATCATATCCCATCATACGCACGTAGTGCTCTGGATCATCAAACATTGATGGATCAACGAAAAGTGGCCTTTTGTCGACAGTAAATGAAGTGAACATACCAGGTACTTCGGGAACTTTCACATCACCGACACGAAATTTAGTCTGTAATATAATAGCCAAAATAAATCTTTAATAAAAAACTTTAAATAGAAATCACTCACATAAATTTTTCTTAAAATAATCGAAATGGTTGTTGCGGTATATTCTTCAGTTTTTGGATTATAATGTATTTCAGTTACATATTTTTTGGTGACGAAATGTAACAGCACTGGTGTAACAAAAGTGAAGAAACCACCAATTGTACACAGAAGTACCGCCATACCAGTGCCACCAATTTTCAATCCTTGTTCTAAAAGTATTGGTTGCGCTACTAAACCAGCTAAACTTGTGGAAAGTGAGAAGAATTTCACTACCTTCATGCGTGGTGCCAATGAACCATAGTAAATGCGTTGTTGACTTTTTAATTCGTCTTCTGTTACTTTAGAGGCATAACACCTTTGTTGTTGTGATAGCAGGGATGCGTGTTGTGCGGCATATTTTGTGGAATTTGCTGCGCAATTCGTTTTCGATACTAAATTGTTATTTATCACTGAACTCACAAAATTAAAAGTTCTCCTACTTCTTGATAAAGTTGTGCGTAAAGCCAACATTTTAATTATTTCTATGATTTTACGAATTTTATTTACAAATCACAAAAGTTTAGTGCACACTTCTCCACAAATGTTAAATAACATTGGGTGAAATGTCAAAAACATATGGTTTCGCTAAAGGAGACTGAACTTAACGAAACGAAATTTAACACATTGTTGCATTTACAAAATTTGAATTTATATTTTTAATTTTTTAATATATTTATATTGTTTTAATTATTGTCGTATTTGTTATTATTATTTTATATTGTGTACTATTATTGTATATAATTAAAACTCCTATATTCATAACGATGAATTTATTTAAATAGATATGGATTAACAACACTATACTAGGTTATCTCTATTTTATTAACTTTAAAGCTGATTATACTAGTTTCGGACACACCTTAATTTCGCAAAATTCTTAATTTCATCTTCGAACGAAATTAAGGAAAATGCCCATAACTTCGTTGAAACTACGACTGAAATTAAGGGACATTTTAAGTGCAACTATGAGTAAAATACATTTTTAGCAAAGTTGAGATAACGAAAAAGTGACTTTCTTTTTAAATAAATGTTAATGCAGTTAACTTTAATAAAACCGGCAAATATTTTGAAAAAAGTACAAAGTTTAAATATGTTATAGAAAAAAAAACTGTAATTGTTATTCATTTAAAATAACATATTTAAAAAAACGTATGATTCCTTAATTTGGTGCAGTATGAACGCTTTCAAAATAAACTTAGGTCGTGTGCGAGTTAGGCTAAGTTACGTTCTAAATGAGGGAAATTCTAAGTTGTGTCGATAATGTATTGATGTGTCGATACGTGTTGATAAATGGCAAAATGTGTGCAGTGCAAAAAATCCCAAAAAATCTCCCATTTGATTTAGCATCAACTTAGCCTAACTCGCACACGACCTTAATTTCATTTTTACGAAATTAAGGAAATTTAGCTGTCTAAACATGAGAATATGTTTTAACTGTTGTTGGTTTATAAAATTGTCTTTTTTGGTAATATTTTGCCAAAATAGAAATAGAAAAAATATTAGAAATTTTTGATATTTAAATAATTTAATATAATTTTTAATGGATGTCTTTTTTATAGTTTAATTTATGGTATATATACAAAACAATAGCCGCAGAGTTCACAGATCAGCTGATTTAAAATATGAAAATGTACTCAAATCACTTAGGCAACTGATTATTAGAATTATTATTATTAGAGTTATATGTCACCAAAGATTTTTACTACTAAAAATTCTGGTATTTATTGTATTTTCCAGAATAAATGGCATTTATGTATTTCAATATTAATTGCGATAAACAACATCCAATGGTAATGTTAGTTGAATTAAACGTATAACTAGAGTTATTACATTTATGATATCATGTTTAATTTACCAACTTCAGTAATTGAAATCGACTTAACATTCCAACCAGTTATCAAAGCTTACCTTCTCATATAAAAATATGGTTTCATTGAAATTAATTAAATACTTTTTCTTGAATACAGCAATGATTCTTGATTCTTGATTCTTCTTCTTCTTGAGTTAGTGCTATTACGCACTTTTACTCTATAATGGCTGGGGGGCTTATCTCTACCCCACACTAGTCTTTAACTAGGCTAAAAAAAAAAATCATATCATTTATTTGTCTTTTAGTTGATGACGGACCTTAAATCAGCATATCTTCCTGAGAGTCCAGAAGTGGACTTGAGGATTGTTAGGGCGGGGTTAATTAACGTATCAACTTTAGTGAATAATTTTAATTTTTTAAAGTCTTAAAAAGTATTTCAATACAAGATGACAAAAGCAACAACCATCAAAATACCTATTCGAAACGATAATGTAAACGTTTGACGTTTGTGACCAACTTTAGCAAAGTTCGATAGCTAAAGTTCGTTATGTAAATGTTTTATAACTCAGGCTTATATCATGTTCTAGCTAAATCAATGATCGTTTCCATATGCACTTATGCATAATTTATACAAGTACATGAGGTTTTATGTACATATCAGAAATTTCGGTGAAAGTTCTACAAGAGCTTTTGTGTGTTTTCATTTTAATTTTTAGTTGATAATATTTAATTCCACATTGTGGGCAGAAATTATTTAATTTATAATGGAAAATCTGAAAATGCAAAATATTTTGTGAAGAATATTTACAGTAGCGGTCATAGCAACTGCATCACCCAATATATATCCGTTTTTTTAAATATGTACTTAAAAAAATCTGCTTTTACCAGGAAAACAATTTTTTTCTAATTTGTTTCTTATTGTAGTTTATTGTAGATACTGTAACAACTTAATGTTGTATTCATAGAATATACGATGAAAATAAAAAAAAAGTATAAAAAGAATTAATATTTGGTAGTACCACGTCTAGCCTTAATTACCGCATTAATCCGATATGGCATGGAGTTCACTATTTCGTCTTAAGTCTCAGTGCAGCCAAATTCAAAAATCAGTCTTCACTGGAAATATTTTGTAAAATTCCAGTCATCCGTTAAAATTACATGAGCATTTCATTTACTATGAAACAAGCCTTTGCTTTATCATTTACTAATAAACTTAAATACATAAAGAAATATATTAATTTAAGTATAAAGAAGTTTTTTCGAACAGTAGTGAACTACAACAACAAAAATTTTATTTTTTTTATTATTTTAATTAATTGAATTTTTGGTTGACCATACAGCTGTTTCGAGTATTGCCAAATACCTATCATCAGTGGTAATTTAAGTATGTAAGATAAAAATGCTAACCATTGTCCTTCTAATATTTATATTTTTTCTTTTTTAAAAAACTTTTTTTCTAATGCAGGCATATTTTTTATTATTTTTTAATGCGTTTTAATTGTTATGAAATGACATGTGACCACTTAAAAATGAATATTATTAGTGATTCAATATAGCACTAAATGTACAGTAGCAAGCATTATTTTTATATTATAAAGTATTTCTACTAATAATGTATATAAAGAGTTTTGGACATTGAGATGAAATATCAAGAATGATTACTTTAATATAAAATCATAATTAACTAGGCATACTAGGCATGAAACTTGACATGAAAGCCACCTGAATTAACAACCTCTATTATATCAATTAAAATTTTAATGTGTATGGGGACAATTATTAATTTAACATATTCCTTTGTTATATTACACATTTTATTGATGACATTTAGCACGTTAGCATATCATCTAAAATCTTATCTACGTAATAAAAATAAGGCTTTTATATTAATAAAAAATTTTTAGTATCGTCAACAAAATTATTTGGCATTTATTAAATTTCAAATTAGAAGCATGTATAAAAAAGTATTTCTAAGTAAAACATTTACCTAAATCTGCAGTTTGAATACTGGCTATATCTTAATCTTCACCGACAAAAGTTGATACGTTACCCAATCCCGCCCTAATAAACCTTAAGTCCACCTCAGGATGCACAGGAAGATATGCTGATCTACGATTCGTCATCAGTTAGAAGATAAATAAATGATAATGATTCTAGTATAGTTAAAGTTTAGTGTGGGGCAGAATTTCCCTAAGGACGTGTGTGAGTTAGGCAAAGTTGCGTTCTAAGTGAGGGAAATTCTAAGTTGTGCCGATAATGTAGTGATGATACGTGTTGATAAATGGATAAATGTGTGCAGTGCAAAAAATCCCTAATATTTTTTTTCAATGTTGCATTCAACATTTTTGGTATTCTTTTCCTTAATTTATTATTAACAATTAATTATTAATAATGATTAATAGTGTGCTTATTTTTTGGAAAGCACAAAAGCTCTTTGTACGGTTAAATAACTTATCCAGCTGAATATTTAACTAAATTAGAAATTGTTTTATTATACATATTTTATGTCATAACAAAAAAAAAAAACGTTATTTAACTGCGACGTTAAAATTTTGAACTCTAATCAGCTGATTTTCAAATTTACTTGGAGAAATTTTTCAAGTAAAATTCAAATAAATCCTATATAGTACGAAATAACAAATCCGCTTCATAAAATATTTCATCTTACTAGATTTTGGATGTACGAACAGAATAATAATATACAAGTAACTTTTTACGAGTATGTTACTATAAGTATTATTTGAGCTTAAGTGTATGGGCTTTGGATACAAAACCGCTACTGTAACCTGACCTAACCTATTACAAGTGCATATAGCAACAGTCCACATATGTCCACTAGATATTTAGCAATCCATCTTCATGGCAATTGGCGACTTGCACATGTGCAAGTAATATTATTTTGATATAAATAGCAAAATGTATGGCTTAATAATATGTGGCACCATGAAATTGACGTATGTCTTACTATTTAGTATATTTGCTGGATTTGTTTGATTTAACATTTGAAAATAATTAGTTGACTTAAATACATAAACAATACAATATAAATATAAAACAAAGTAATTTTTTCAATGAAATAATACTATATATATGATAAATAATATATTTAAAGTATAATTTTGACAGGATATAAAATATATCATCTTTCATTAAACACAGTAAATATAGGTACCACCTATATGCACTTTAGGTGGTACCTTCCTAACAATGCAGTAAAAACAATGCAGGATAAAATAATTTTTGTGATATTTTTTGTTACTATTGATGGATCTCCAACAATGATCCTGAACTAAAGCAAGAGATTAATTAGTTGCTTGAACACGGCCCTTTGATTTTGAAACGAGTACGTGTACAGAAATTCGATAAAAAGAGTTTAGCCTCTATTGTTTGGTATGCAAAAGGAGTATTGTTGATAGTTTATCTCTTACTTGGTTAATTAATAAATTAAGATAATTATTATAAACGTTTTGGAGCAGTGTGATGTAAAAATTCGTGAAAAAGATCCGCTTTACAGAAGATAAATATCATTTGCTGTCAAGACAATACTTCTGCCTACACAACTTGAAATATTATTGCTAAAACCAGTGAAATAGGTCCGCTTCAAATACGCCAATGTACACGCGCGGTATTTTACCTCCTGTGTGTAAAGGTCTTTAAAGTACGAATTGATGGATCCGTTTTTAAGATTAAGGTTTCTATGACTCATCTTAAACCTTAAAATCTTATT